GTTAGTAATTAGTGACAACTGATAGAATACAACTGCAACAGGCTAATCATTTCATTGGCAGAAAACATTTACATTTTGTGGAGGCCGTCGTCACTTGTGGTGTATGGTCTGCACCCGACGCTCTTCTCATTTTTGAAAGGGAGTATAGGAGTACAGCGGTATTAAAATTGTACTCATGAAAAACTTCTGGGATCTAGGTGAATAGTAAGGGAGAAGGAGGGCTCAACGCAGCTCGTGCCGCTTTCGCTAATTTCAATTTTTGAGGTGAAAGCTCCGGGGTTAGTGTAGAAGCGAAAGCAATGGTTCACGCACCCCGGAGCTTCCTCCCCTGCAGAAATTAGTCCAAAAACGTAGACGGCACTAAATGTTGCACCACATGCCCCTATCCTTACTCATCGTCAGATCATACTTTTGAATCCCTGCAGAAACGATCTACTTCCAGAATATTACTTACGTTACAGATCTTGGTCGCCAAATTGAAGTGACTCTGAATGCTTTGTCGATCATTTGCTACTGGATCAGTATGGCCGTCACGTCGACGTCCTCCATCAAGAGCCGCAAGTGGATTGAACATTGGCACGTTTTTCCTTGATGACAACGCCTTCTCGTAAACTTTAGCCGCTTCCGATGGAGAGTATTCTTGAACTTTACTGAAATTTTCAAAAATCATTTTGAACAACTGCATTCATTTTTTATACTATGAGCTCCACTTACGCTTCCGTAAACCCATAAAGCTTCATTAGAAAGTTCTTGAGGTAGAGTAGAATAAAGCACGCTTGGCTGTTGTCCATGAGGTCATATAACGGGCCTTTTTCTTCAGGGAAACGGTCTGTAAAGAACGTATTTAAAAATGAAGCAATCCCAGCAAAAGCAGAAACCAAGGATTACTATAAAGGGCTTCAGGTTCGAATAGAAGGTCGTCATCTTCAAGCTGATTCTTCGGTGGCTGCTGCACAGATGAGTAGTATGGTTGTCCAGCTCGCAGGTGTGCTTTACATTGAATGAGCAATGACTGCCCAGACAATGACACAATCGAATCAATGGTATGGATCACATATAGCGGCTCATCCATAACCTATATCAATTCATTAACAACTTCCACATCAGCAATTCACAACCGATCCAAAAAATGAAAAACGGAACCTGATAAGGAAACATGGCGATGTTGTCCGCAACAAAAATCCATTCCTCAAGCCGGAGTTTCTCCCTCGAGTCCTCGCTGAACAGCCTGAACAAAAAACACTGATGACAGGAAAAAACATCCCTTGTAGAGTGGCAAAATGATCCTTTCAGTTTTCAATTTTCGCTGGATAAGTACGGTTTTACGCTGAAGTTTGCGTTGCGAAAGTAATCCCGAGAATGCTGAGTTATGGGAGAGTTCAATTGCCAATTGCTCGGAAAGAAAGGGATATGGGTACGAATACCGGCCAGGGCAAAAGTTTTGCCCATAACTCAGCATTCTTGTGAGATCCCCTCACTAGATTAACTTGGGCTAGCAATTTGAAAATAGAATACATGCAAAAAGTATTCGGCAATTGGGATGTGCCGCGCATTGTACTTTCAGTCAGATTATGGCGGCTATAAACGCTTTTTAGTCTAAATGGACTTGCGAGATGATTTGAGAACGATGCACAACAGTTCATATCATCCCAGAATCGGGTACCAATTAACCGACCCAGAAATAATGGAAGAATTGTTTGGCCTCGGCGGAACTCAATCCGATTGGACCCCACTGATGCATGTCAGGTTGTACATGCGTAGTACCATGCATAGGGCCGGTCTACAGGAGTAATTTGAACAGTAAAGCATCTACAGTAAGGCCGCTGAAAATAAGTGTATTATATAAATTGGCATACTGCTGTCAAACGATTGTGAGAAAGATCTCGCGTTGTTGTCGATTGAGTGCGACGTGGTAATAACGTCAAGACAGCTGCGTCATTGTGTGAATGACCGAGGAGGCGGTCGATGGATCAATGCCGAGCAACCTGTTGACTGAAGCCTGATTCTATTGTAAGCGAAAAGTTCGCTTACGCAGTGGGTGGTATGGGAGACATCAAAGCCAGAATACCGAATGGAGTAGTCGCATCAGAAGGGATTACGGTTTGTAGTGAAGTGATTGCCTTACGCCTGGTGTGGCCGGGTACTGGAAAGAAAGAAAACTAATGAAGCCACATAAAAGGAAGAGGTCAAAATAAAACCTGTATCATTCCTGCGTATTTTGTATCGATATCCTTCAGCATACCCTCTACACGACTTCGAACTATCGGCAATGGATCTGTTGTCATTGCTATAAGCGTCGCAATTGAAGTACCCGGTGTAACCAAACCTTGACTGTACGTCAGATTCGCCACCTAAAATTAAAAGCGATTCAACTGACAGCAATCACATAGTCAAGAAAGACCAGCTTTTCTGCTCGTATATTTCCAACAACTTTCTCTATCTTGCGGTCTGTCCACGGTTACTTCACTCCTAATTAAATCAATTTCTCTGTCGTGAGTTTTTCTTTTCAAAAGTAGTTATTCCCTAAGCTCCTTAGGAATTAACGAAGGTTTCTTCGCGTATGTCTGAAGCCACCTGCAACTGCTTCTTTTTCTCCAAGTTACCAGAGCGCACGGCTTAAGCCGCGTTCAACGTCGATGCGACTGAGGCGCTCGACTTGATGGCCCGATTTGCACTTATGAATCGTTTTCTTTTCGAATATTTCTCTTATCGAGTGGGGCTCCCTGACGAACTCCCGGCCTCGGCTACAGCACAGGCAGCAATGCGTAGCTGTGCCGACAGTTCTTCAAGAAGCAGAATTGGACCAGAGACGATGGGGCGGAGAAAATGCCGATGTGGCGCGCTGTCGCCTGCTTTCGCTAACATAAGATGTCCGTCAGATTCGGCGATTGTGCTGGCACAACCGCCGGGTCTGACGGACATCTAAAGGCGGAATGCCGAGGAGCAGTACTGAATAAAAGGAATTATTGAGGCACTAGTGCATAGTGGCAAGTGGCACGCTTACCACGCGAGCGGTCCGGGGATCAAATCCTGGGTCGTGAGTCGCCCGGGCCAACCAAGCCTTCCATCCCTCCGGGGTCGGTTAATTGGTACCAGACTTGTCTGGGAGGATAAAAAACACTGACTTGTACATCGGCTGGCCCCCGCAAGTCATTGTATAGGCCACATCGCATTCAAACGCCACTACGAATGTACAAATGGAAGTAGAATGCGTGCCGCATCCCAAAAAGGGATTGATCAACGGCAAATGCTTTATCCTTTATCCTTTTTATCCTACTGCATGCCATTCGCATTTGCCGAGCGGACCTAGCCACAAACACCCCTCCAATTTCCACGTCAGCAGCGATATCGTATTTAAAGGACGAATTCACGATGAAAAAGCAACCCATTTCAAATTAACCTAGGGATGGTGAGTGGTACACGAAAGAAGGAAGAACCATGAGAAACGGCCCAGAACCCGAGAAATGGGACCCCTTCCTTGCCCGTTGATTTGAGCATTGATGCGACTCTCATCGCTGTGCCCTCTTCAACACTACGCTCTCTATCTAATCACTCGCCACGTATTGAACTACGG